GAACGGAGGAAACATATAGCTCAGTGCCATAAAATCATTTAAGGTGAGGTTGCAGGGAAACGATTCCGACAGTGGGAGGTCACAGTCAAAAACTGGAACATCCGTCGTACGGATCGAAAGAACAAGGGCTGGCTGCTGAGGCGGCAATCGACATGATATAGTTAGACTTTCGTCAAAGATGCGAACTGTCGACTCCAAAACAGGTACCCAGGCAGGTGTTGGTGGTCTAGTTCAATCCAAGTCGCTGACAAAGTCAGTAAATGGAAGCAACTCAGTTGGAGAGCAGCGACTGTACGACTGAAACCGCCATAGGCTAAAGTTTAGATATCGCTACAGGTCAATACTTCCTTCTCCAACTGGAGCAAGAATTTGACTTCTTCGTTGAGGAAGTGGAAGGTGCTCTGTGGGAAGTGCCGACTAAGGGCCCTCATTCTAAAGGGCGATTTCAATACGCATGTTAGAGCAGGAATTGAAAGTGGAAAGAACGGCCTTAACGACCTCAACAGTGAGGAAGTGAACTTGTTGCGGTTTCGTACATACGAAGGACGGCGTCTCATGAACATTTTCTTCGAGTATCGAAGCGTGTATCAGTGTACATGGTATAGGGCCGCTTGTGTAGAAGTTGACGATCGATTGGATAATCGTATCGCTTCACCTACGACGTCCTTCCGTAGATGTTTGCCTTAGGAAGGTTGCAGAGCCGTCCGATCGCAACCATGCCAATGGCGTTCTCTTCTGGAAATGATTGAGTAACATTCGAAAAGCCGGTGGTAGAAGCAACCAAAGAGTCAAATGGGAAACAGTGTGTTGTACGAATATGAGGGCAGGACTTGTAGAAAATACCGCAATACGATTTTAACCGATCCCCGTGATGTCGGCTGAGGTGTAAACCGATTGAAAGTCCTTTAAGAGCATCAAACTCATGGCTTCAGCTGAATTCAGTGCTGCAGACTCGGGTTATCATTTGCTGAAGCTGAAAGGTCGCTTTGGAGACATTATTTGACGAGTGTAGGTCTGCTACTCGAAACTTTAATAATATCGAAGCTGAAGTAATAACTGACTGTTTGACCGTTTGGTGAACGAAGGCAAATTGCAGCAGTTAGAGGCGTTCACTCAGACGGCACATCCGCGCCTGTCTCCCATTCTGAAATGGCCACATCACAACACTACCCACGTCAGCTTGTTCTGATCGGTTTCTTGGCACGTTTCCCTAAAGCTTGATGAGTTGAATTGAATTCCTCACTCAAGGGAATTAACAATAGGAAGAAACTTCCTTTCATGGGTTTCGAATTTGGCACTTCCGTACATCAACGAAGATTTCTTACCCCTATGCTACAATGAGCTTGTGGCAAACGTGCCACGTTTATTTCCAACTAAGATATGCCGTCCTCTATTCGTATGTACCATTACCGGCACCTGCTCAAATCGCTCCCTCATTTTAGGTCTAGAATTAAGGGGTCTATGCAACATTTGCATAAACTCCGCTAATTACATGCGTGATCATTCAAGATAGCCGTAAACGAACGGTAGGCGGTGCAAGCCAAAATCTGTACAGGAAATTTTCAAAACAGAAGGTCCCTTCTGATGCAGCGGTAGGGAGTCAAATGAGTGACAGACAAAGCTGACGATGGCCAAACCATAGCGTTCATCATCTGAGGTAAAATGAGCAGAGACAGGAGCAAAGCACACTCAACAACATAGCCATATAGATCGTGTAGAAACGAAGCGTGGAAAGGTCGCCGATTGGAACTAACATCAATGTCATCTTGTGCCATCAACGGATAATCTACAGTTCCGAGAATGAGCTTAGAATCGAAAATGTAAAATCATATTTTCTTCTAAAGACACTGTTTAATGTCTTCATGCAAAGATCTCCAAGTTGTCCATAGCGACGATTTCTGAATGGTTGGTTTACTCGGCACAAGTTATACATAACATACCCAACGTTCGATTCTTGCTTGATCTATCCATTCTGGGGACATTTCACAATAGCAATTTGCATACAATATTTCAGGTCATCCAAAATCGTTTCTGCACATAGCTGCTGGGCAGTGACCCTGAAAACAAATCACGAACTGTGCGGAAAGTTCATACTGTGGTGCCCAACGTAGTAATATGTAGGCTACTCCTGAAAGGCTTTCGAGATGAAGAATGTTGCAATAATCGCTATTACTATGTCTTTAAAATGGAGCCTCGCTTCTGCCTTTGAAAATTTGGCAATATTTTGGCAAAGGTTATTGCCTAGGCACAAAAATACAAGCTACTTGTCTATGGATAGTTAAAAACATGTTGTTACGCAAACATGCGAGTGTTTGCCACAAGTCAGTGATGCGGTCTTGCATCTCATACAGTGCAAACGTTCAAATATTCTGCAGTCATAGCCTTTGGGCGATTAGAAACAAAAGGAGGGTGTATTCAGCATTTCAGAAGCTGAAACGATATGATTACTGGATGAAAACTAATATTTAGGGTTAAAGAAAGCGGTAAAGGAAAACCAGGGCTATGTTTTGTTTATTCTTATTCAGAGCTTACACAGTATTTACTACTGACTAACACAAGCAGCTTATTTTTTTTTCATATTCTACTCTAACAACATATTCCATTTTTCTAGTTTTGTTCGACAGAAGGGCAATACTCTCTTGCTTCCAGAAGCGTAAATGGTCATATGAGCAGGCTCACTGATATTTGAGATCTATAGTGTGGATGCAAAACGGCATGCCACCTTTGGACCTAGTAAGGTGCTTGAAGCTCGACCGGAATAAATTCTTGAAAAGTGCATTTCTATCGTCTGATCATCTAGCAAATACACGTAGATATGAATGGCGCCGCGGCAGGCCAGATAATTAATTGTCTTCAATCGGGGAGACAACTGAGAAACGCCCTAGACAGCAATGAGGAGCATGGGAGGAGGTGAATCGAGTCCATAGGTCGTCTGCTCAACGCAATTGGATGCAGCTAGCTATCGCAAAATCTTGGAAGAATGAGAAGTTTGTTTACTTAGTGAACAGTGTGGAAACAATTTGGTCTGCTTCCAGACTGTCAGACAGCGAGCTCCGAACTCACAGGCCGTCTTCCAATCGTGTCTCGTGGAAGTCGTCGAAAGAACAGGATCATCAAGATTTGTTCATTCAACAAACAGAGGCAAGACGCTTGACAAAGAATAGCTCACGGCTGCAGGTGTCGTAAAAACGCCGCAAGACCATGTGACTTGTCGCTCATTACCAGCACATTACAGCAGAGTCCCAATTCATCACCTGATGGACATTCGCCCCTGAACAACTACTCACAGCACAGCACAGCACAGCACCGCAACGCAACGTCCGTCCTTAAGCTACTGTAAGGGAAAGACCACAGTTCAATGGGAGGTCTCCATGCCGATTCGCACGTATATGAATAACCAGGTAGCTCAAGATAACTTAGCTCATATAGCGCCCGGCTTTGATTAAGTGACCGAGGTAGACGAATTTTGAAACTGGCGCCGTACTCAATTTGAGTTTCGGAGACAGAGCAGAGACGAGGTGTCAAGCGACAAGAAACAACGGTCACTTGTTTCTATTGGATTAAAAGTAC